AAAAAAAAAAAAAATGAATGAAACACACCAACTGAACAAAAGCACAGAACCTCAGGCTAAATCCATATATTCTGAATCAGAATTTGCATTTTAAGAAGATATTCAATTCATTGTTGTACAAATTAAAACTTGCAGAGGATCTTCTGACTTATTAGGAGCAGTATATGTAACTTATTCTGTGTGATATAAACAGTAATTTAAAATGTGCGTACCTGTGTTGGTGTCCATTTTATGCTTTTCACTCACAAAAATAGAGTCTACACTGGCTGAGTGGATTTTATTTCATCCTATTTTCCCACACTTAATGCATTGGAGGATATTTCTGGTTTTTTATTTGTTTATTTTTAGTGTTTTGTTTTGAGTTGGAGTCTCACTCTGTCAACCATACTGGAGTGCAGTGGCCACTCCCAGCCACTGCAGCCTCGATCTGCTGGGCCCTGGTGATCCTTCCACCTCAGCCTTCCAAGTAGCTGAACTTTAGGTGTGTGCTGCCACACCTGGCAAAATTTTTTGATTTATTGTAGAGATGTGGTCTCGCCAACTTGCCCAGGTGGGTCTCAAACCCATGGGCTCAGGCAATCCACTTACCTCGGCCTCCCAAAGCACAGGATTACAGGTTGAGCCACTGAATCTTGCCAGAGGATATTTCTGTGTTATGAATTTTCTTATTGCATAATAGTTGTCAGCTTGACCCTGTTCTTTTCATTCTTGCTTTACCTAGAGGCCAGGGGGACTTGGTAAATAATGTGTTTTTGTTGTTTTCAGGGGTTGTTGTCATTCAAGGATGTGGCCATAGAATTCTCTCCAGAGGAGTGGGCATGCCTAAACTCCCCTCAGCGAATATTATACAGGACTGTGATGTTAGAGAACCATAGAAACTTGGTTTATCTCGGTGAGGAAACTTTCAAAACACAATCCTATTTCATACTAAGGATTTTATGTCCTTTATTTGTAGAATGTTTTCTGGGAATTTTTGCTTTGCATGAAAGAATTTCAGATTCCTCCTATCATTGAAAAGTTGGTAATATGTTAACATAGAAAATAAAAAATTAATGATGTTTCATTTTGACATGAAGCCTTCTCTATTTTAAATTGACCAGTGTCCTTCTAGCTATATTATTGGTAAGTTCAGAAATTTAGTGGCATAGATATTATTGCCCACAAGTCATTCTAATTGATGTCATAAGTTATTGACTCACTAGTACTGAACTAAGAACTCACAAATTTAAGGCCAGGCATGGTGGCACAGCTGTGTAATGCCAGCACTTTAGGAGGCTGAGTTGAGAGGACTGCCAGAGCCCATGGGTTCAAGAATAGCCTGGACAACCTGGCAAGACCCCATCTCTACACTAAATCAAAAAATTATCTGGGAGTGGTAACACACACCAGTAATTCTGGTTACTTGATAGGCTGAGGTGATAGCATTGGGGTGGCCATGAGCTTTCCACTGCACTCCAACCTGGGTGACAGAGTAAGATTCCAACTTAGAATAAAAATAAACCCATAAATTGAAAATTCTATCTAAATGTTCTAAAGATTTTATTGGGAAACTGTATTTTGGGGTTAATTTTCTAGAATCTTGTATAATGTGTTCTCTACTTATCAAATGCTAGGTTTGTAATCTAAGAACCACAGCAAGAGTTATGTTACTTTTTTTCTAATTAAACAGGACTTGCCGTCTCTAAACCAGATCTTATTACATGTCTGGAGCAAAGGAAAGAGCCCTGGGATGTGAAGAGACACAGCACATTAGCCAAACTTCCAGGTAAGTGGGAGTGAATGAAGCAGTGACACAGGTTGAGGAATCAGAGTTTGAAAAGTGGTTTGGTAAGGTGGTCTGCTCCAATGGAAATGGTTTCTTAGAAACTTGGGATTCTCTCTTCCTGTCACAAAGCGACATCTGTTATTCCATGTACAGAAATTCTCCAAAAACTCTCCTTTTTCAATGATCTTTCAAGTTTACAGAGGAAATCAAAGTCCACTTAATGGTATGTTAGGAACTGCATGATCTCACTACCATTCTGATGCTTTGGAGACATGCAAGTATTTGCTTATTTATTTGGAAATCCATGTCAAACTATTTTTTATGTTTTCTTTTTGCATCATGGTTGGATTATGTGACCAGTGATTTTGTTATCTGCTTGAGAAATTTTAAGAACACTCCGGACACATGTTACATGTTTTCTACTTTATGATTTTCTATACTAGGGAGATTTTCAATGATTTTATTTAAATTCATACTCAATAGTCCTACCTAAATACAAATTATCTCTCTTAATAGAAGAAATCCTGATAGTTTACTTAAATTTTACTTTTATACTATGATCTGAGATGGGTAGTTTTTATTTATATCCAAATATTTAAGTACACTATATCGTGTAGAGGATTGGTAAACATATATTAAACTCCTACATGTTACCTTGTGTCTTAATAGCTCTTATTTTATAATTTTTTTTTAGTATGAAGCTTAGGACTAGCTTCATATATGTATATATTCAAACATATGTATGCATGTTTATATGTGATTAGTATCTGATTTTTTATACATAAATAAATAATAGGTCATAAATAATGTACTAATTTGATATGCCTATACAGTGTGAAATGATGATTACAATTATATTAATGAACATATCAACCATCTTACGTAGTTGCCATTTTTATGTTTTGTAAGGAGAACACATAATGTCTTGTATCTTAGCAAATTTTCTAAGCATACGAAACGTCATTATTAATAATAAGTCACTGTGGTACACATTAGGTCCCTAAGACTCAGTTATAACTCAAATTTTGTAACCATTGAAAAACACCGCCATTTTCCCACCTGCAGGCCCTGGTGACCACGTTGTACTTTCTTCCTCTATGAGTGCAAAGTTATAACTCAAATTTTGTAACCATTGAAAAACACCGCCATTTTCCCACCTGCAGGCCCTGGTGACCACGTTGTACTTTCTTCCTCTATGAGTGCAAAGTTTTTTGATTCCACAGAAGTGAGATCATACAGAAATTTTTTTCCTGAGTTGGAGTGTCACTCCACGCTGGAATGTAGTGGCATGCTAATGACCACCACAGCCTCATTGCTGGGCTCAGGCGATCCTTCCATATCAACTTTTCAAGTAACTGGAACTACAAGTGTGTACTGCCACGCCTAGCTTATTTTTGTATTTGTCATAGACCTGTGGTCTCACCTAGGTGCCCAGACTGGTCTTGAACCCCTGAGCTCAGGCAATCCTCTCACCTTAGTCTCCCAATATGATGGGTTTACAGACTTGAGCCACTGTACCTGTTCTCACGCAGTATCTGTGTGTGTGTATGCCTGGCTCACTTCAGTTAGCATAATGTCTTACAATGTCATCCATAAGGTTAAAATTGCAGAATTCTTTAAAAAAATTTTTGACTGAATTATATGCTATTGTGCATATGTGTGTGTGTGTGTGTGTGTGTGTGTGTGTGTGTGTGTATTATTTTATTAATCAACACAGATTTCACAAATATTTAGGTTGTTTTCAAGCTTGGCCTTCTTGACAAATGCTGCAATGCCCATAGCGGTTGGAGACTACTTTTTGATATTGATTTTATTTACTTTGGTTATATGCTCCGAAAAGGGATTTCTGTGTTATGTGACAGTTTGTATTTATTTTTATTTAATTTATTTTATTTTATTTTTTTGAGTTGGAGTCTCACTCCATCACCCAGACTGGAGTGGAGTGACCAGTCCCAGCCATCACAGCCTTGACCTGTTGGGCTCCAGAGATCCTTCCACCTCGGTCTTTCAAGTAGCTGGAACTACAGGCATGCGCTACTATGCCTAGCAAATTTTTGATTTATTGTTGAGATGAGGTCTCGCCAAGTTGCCCAGGTGGGTCTCAAACCCTCAGGCTCAGGCAATCCACTCATCTCAGCTTCCCAAAGGTGCAAGATTACAGGCTGAGCCACTGAGCCCGGCATGTTTTTATTTTTAAAAGAATGTTGATAATGATTTTTATATTACTCTACCAATTTTAAACTCACCAAGAGTATACAGGATTTATTCTTCTTCACATCCTCATCAAAAGTTCTCTCTCTCTTCTGGTTGATATTGGCCATTCTAACCACTTTGAGACAATATATCATCATTGTGTTTATTTGAAATTGCCTCTATTGGTGATATTCACTACCAATTCATATACCTGTTGGCAAGTTGTATGTCTTCATTGGAAAATAACTTCATTTTTTGCCTTTTTATTCAAGTGATTATCATTTTCTTTAACTGCTCATGCAGATGTTTTTTCTTGTTCTGTAAGCCTTCTTCCTTTTCCTTTACTCTGCAGAAGTTTTCAGTTTGATGTCTCCAACTTGTTTATATTTCTTTTTATTTCTGTAGTCATAAAAAAAATTATTACTAAGAGCAATATCAATATCAAGAATGTTTTCCAAATCCTTTTTATGGTTACGTTTATCAGCATGCTCTGTCACCCAGGCAGTATTGTGGTCGTTCAAGTAAGGGTTTCTACATTTCATATGAAAATTTCTCAATCTTTGTTGTAATTTACAGCTCCACAAATTATTGTTGTACCCTTAATTGAGTCATTTATCCTGATTCTTTCTATGCTTTGGCATACTTTCTTTGAATTGGGGTATTTGAAATTCAAAGATAAACACGTCATAAGGTTTATAAGGTTGCTTTGTCTAGATTAATATAACACCAATCACTAAGTTAGAGATTCTAGGAGACTCATACCTGTGCTTAGGATGTGTCTTCTCTGTACATTGGGACAGAAACAAGTCTTTGCATAAACCCTCAAAGGACAGAAATGTGGACTCATACTCCACTCCTCTGTTTATTCCCTGAGGAAGAATTCAAAAGTTAGAACATCCCATCTGATTGCTTCATGCTGCATTGTAAAGAAAGAGAAATTATGGTGGCAAAATTACTAAACTTTCTCTTCCATGTAACTCATTTTATCATGTGATTCTGCAAAATATTAGCTGTTTTTTGAGTTCTCACACAGGCAATGGGGTATTTTCTTAAGTACATATATTTATGATGGAGTCGAAACCTGTGATTTGTACTTGCCATCATACTTATGTCCTTACCATGGTATAATATGTTTTATTTCCAACGGATATTCACCTGAGTCTAGCATGTGGAATAAATTTTTATTTTCATGATTTTCAGCTGTGACCTCTCATTACACTAAAGACCTTTTGCCAGAGAAGAGCATAGAAGACTCCCTTGCAAACTTGCCAATGGGAAAATATGGTAAATATGTCCTTAAGAACAAATGCTTACAAAAATGCTGGGTAAGTGTGCATGAGGGTGAAGGGCAGATAGAATGCTCAGTTGCAAATAACCATTACAAACGTAACAAGAGTAGGAAAGTCTTTCATCAAGACTCCAAATTTGTTATCCACCAGAGGATCCATATTTCTGAAATGGCTTTCAAACATGAATATGGCAAAACCTTTAACTGGTCCTCAAAATGTAGTCAACATCAAAAAAATAGTGGAGGAAATATATACAATATATGTGGGAAAGTGTTAAACAACTCATTCTATCTAAATAGACATGAAAGAATTCATAGGGGAGAGAGAGCCTTCAAAATTGAAAACTGTGGGAAAGCCTTTAGCTATTACTCATGTCATTCACAACATCAGAAAATTCATTGTGGAGAGAAACTCTAAAAATGTGAAGAATGAGCTGGGCTCGGTGGTTCAGCCTGTAATCCCAGTGCTTTGGGAGGCTAAGGTAAATGGATTGCCTGAGCCCATGGGTTCACGACCCACCTGGGCAACTTGGTGAGACCTCATCTATACAGTAAATCAAAGAATTAGCCAGGCATGGTAGCACGCGCCTGTAGTTCCAGCTACTTGGTAGGCTGAGGTGCAAAGATCGCTGGAGCCCAGCAGGTTGAGGCTGTGGTGACCGGGAGTAGCCACCACACTCGAGTCTGGGTGATGAAGTGAGAATCCAAATAAATAAATAAATGGATAGATAGATAGATAAATGTGAAGAATGTGGCAAAGCCTTTCACTCTCATTCACATCTTACTCAACATACAGTGATCCACACTGGAGAGAAACCCTACAAATGTGAAGAATGTGGGAAAGCCTTTCACATTCATTCACTCCTTACTCGACATGTGATGACCCATACTGGAGAGAAACCCTACAAATGTGCAGAACGTGGCAAATCCTTTCGCTCTCGAGGAGGATTTGCTGGACATAAGACCACTCATACTGGAAGGAAACCCTACAAATGTGAAGAATGTGGCAAAGCCTTTCACTTTCCTTCACATTTTACTCAACATACAATGATACATACTGGAGAGAAACCCTACAAATGTGAAGAATGTGGCAAAGCCTTTCAGTCTCGTTCATATCTTACTCAACATACAGTAATCCATACTGGAGTGAAACGCTACAAATGTGAAGAATGTGGCAAAACGTTTCACTTTAGTTCAAACCTTATTCAACATAAAATGATCCATACTGGAGAGAAACCCTACACATGTGAAGAATGTGGCAAAGCCTTTCGCTATCCAGGATATTTTGCTATACATAAGACCATTCATACTGGAGAGAAACCCTATAAATGTGCAGAATGTGGCAAAGCCTTTAAGTCTCATTCAAGTCTTACTCGGCATACAGTGATCCATACTGGAGTGAAACGCTACAAATGTGAAGAATGTGGCAAAGCCTTTCACTCTTGTTCACTTCTTACTCAACATACAGTGATCCATACTGGAGAGAAACCCTACAAATGTGAAGAATGTGGCAAAGCCTTTCACTTTAGTTCAAACCTTATTCAACATAAA